CTCTGTATAGAGTGGTGTTGGGGCTCTATAGCTGTGTATAGAGTGGTGTTGGGGCTCTATCGCTCTGTATAGAGTGGTGTTGGCTCTATAGCTCTGTATAGAGTGGTGTTGGCTCTATAGCTCTGTATAGAGTGGTGTTGGCTCTATAGCTCTGTATAGAGTGGTGTTGGCTCTATAGCTCTGTATAGAGTGGTGTTGACTATAGCTCTGTATAGAGTGGTGTTGGCTCTATAGCTCTGTATAGTGTTGGCTCTATAGCTCTGTATAGTGTTGGCTCTATAGCTCTGTATAGTGTTGGCTCTATAGCTCTGTATAGTGTTGGCTCTATAGCTCTGTATAGTGTTGGCTCTATAGCTCTGTATAGTGTTGGCTCTATAGCTCTGTATAGTGTTGGCTCTATAGCTCTGTATAGTGTTGGCTCTATAGCTCTGTATAGTGTTGGCTCTATAGCTCTGTATAGTGTTGGCTCTATAGCTCTGTATAGTGTTGGCTCTATAGCTCTGTATAGTGTTGGCTCTATAGCTCTGTATAGAGTGGTGTTGGGGCTCTATAGCTGTGTATAGAGTGGTGTTGGGGCTCTATCGCTCTGTATAGAGTGGTGTTGGCTCTATAGCTCTGTATCGAGTGGTGTTGGGGCTCTATAGCTATGTATAGAGTGGTGTTGGCTCTATAGCTCTGTATAGAGTGGTGTTGGCTCTATAGCTCTGTATAGTGTTGGCTCTATAGCTCTGTATAGAGTGGTGTTGGGGCTCTATAGCTGTGTATAGAGTGGTGTTGGGGCTCTATCGCTCTGTATAGAGTGGTGTTGGCTCTATAGCTCTGTATAGAGTGGTGTTGGGGCTCTATAGCTCTGTATAGAGTGGTGTTGGCTCTATAGCTCTGTATAGAGTGGTGTTGGCTCTATAGCTCTGTATAGTGTTGACTCTATAGCTCTGTATAGAGTGGTGTTGGGGCTCTATAGCTCTGTATAGAGTGGTGTTGGCTCTATAGCTCTGTATAGAGTGGTTGGCTCTATAGCTCTGTATAGTGTTGACTCTATAGCTCTGTATAGAGTGGTGTTGGGGCTCTATAGCTCTGTATAGAATGGTGTTGGCTCTATAGCTCTGTATAGAGTGGTGTTGGCTCTATAGCTCTGTATAGAGTGGTGTTGGCTCTATAGCTCTGTATAGAGTGGTGTTGGCTCTATAGCTCTGTATAGAGTGGTGTTGGCTCTATAGCTCTGTATAGAGTGGTGTTGGCTCTATAGCTCTGTATAGAGTGGTGTTGGCTCTATAGCTCTGTATAGAGTGGTGTTGGCTCTATAGCTCTGTATAGAGTGGTGTTGGCTCTATAGCTCTGTATAGAGTGGTGTTGGCTCTATAGCTCTGTATAGAGTGGTGTTGGCTCTATAGCTCTGTATAGAGTGGTGTTGGCTCTATAGCTCTGTATAGAGTGGTGTTGGCTCTATAGCTCTGTATAGAGTGGTGTTGGCTCTATAGCTCTGTATAGAGTGGTGTTGGCTCTATAGCTGTGTATAGAGTGGTGTTGGCTCTATAGGTCTGTATAGAGTGGTGTTGGCTCTATAGGTCTGTATAGAGTGGTGTTGGCTCTATAGGTCTGTATAGAGTGGTGTTGGCTCTATAGCTCTGTATAGAGTGGTGTTGGCTCTATAGCTCTGTATAGAGTGGTGTTGGCTCTATAGCTCTGTTTAGAGTGGTGTTTGCTCTATAGCTCTGTATAGAGTGGTGTTGGCTCTATAGCTCTGTATAGTGTTGGCTCTCTAGCTGTGTATAGAGTGGTGTTGGGGCTGTATAGCTGTGTATAGAGTGGTGTTGGCTCTATAGCTCTGTATAGAGTGGTGTTGGCTCTATAGCTCTGTATAGAGTGGTGTTGGCTCTATAGCTCTGTATAGAGTGGTGTTGGCTCTATAGCTCTGTATAGAGCGGTGTTGGCTCTATAGCTCTGTATAGAGTGGTGTTGGCTCTATAGCTCTGTATAGTGTTGACTCTATAGCTCTGTATAGAGTGGTGTTGGGGCTCTATAGCTCTGTATAGAGTGGTGTTGGGGCTCTATAGCTCTGTATAGAGTGGTGTTTGCTCTATAGCTCTGTATAGAGTGGTGTTGGCTCTATAGCTCTGTATAGAGTGGTGTTGGCTCTATAGCTCTGTATAGAGTGGTGTTGGCTCTATAGCTCTGTATAGAGTGGTGTTGGCTCTATAGCTCTGTATAGAGTGGTGTTGGCTCTATAGCTCTGTATAGAGTGGTGTTGGCTCTATAGCTCTGTATAGAGTGGTGTTGGCTCTATAGCTCTGTATAGAGTGGTGTTGGCTCTATAGCTCTGTATAGAGTGGTGTTGGCTCTATGGCTCTGTATAGAGTGGTGTTGGCTCTATAGCTCTGTATAGAGTGGTGTTGACTATAGCTCTGTATAGAGTGGCGTTGGCTCTATAGCTCTGTATAGTGTTGGCTCTATAGCTCTGTATAGTGTTGGCTCTAAAGCTCTGTATAGTGTTGGCTCTATAGCTCTGTATAGTGTTGGCTCTATAGCTCTGTATAGTGTTGGCTCTATAGCTCTGTATAGTGTTGGCTCTATAGCTCTGTATAGTGTTGGCTCTATAGCTCTGTATAGAGTGGTGTTGGGGCTCTATCGCTCTGTATAGAGTGGTATTGGCTCTATAGCTCTGTATAGAGTGGTGTTGGGGCTCTATAGCTCTGTATAGAGTGGTGTTGGCTCTATAGCTCTGTATAGAGTGGTGTTGGCTCTATAGCTCTGTATAGTGTTGACTCTATAGCTCTGTATAGAGTGGTGTTGGGGCTCTATAGCTCTGTATAGAGTGGTGTTGGCTCTATAGCTCTGTATAGAGTGGTTGGCTCTATAGCTCTGTATAGTGTTGACTCTATAGCTCTGTATAGAGTGGTGTTGGCTCTATAGCTCTGTATATAGTGGTGTTGGCTCTATAGCTCTGTATAGAGTGGTGTTGGCTCTATAGCTCTGTATATAGTGGTGTTGGCTCTATAGCTCTGTATAGAGTGGTGTTGGCTCTATAGCTCTGTATAGAGTGGTGTTGGCTCTATAGCTCTGTATAGAGTGGTGTTGGCTCTATAGCTCTGTATTGAGTGGTGTTGGCTCTATAGCTCTGTATAGAGTGGTGTTGGCTCTATAGCTCTGTATAGTGGTGTTGGCTCTATAGCTCTGTATAGAGTGGTGTTGGCTCTATAGCTCTGTATAGAGTGGTGTTGGCTCTATAGCTCTGTATAGAGTGGTGTTGGCTCTATAGCTCTGTATAGAGTGGTGTTGGCTCTATAGCTCTGTATAGAGTGGTGTTGGCTCTATAGCTCTGTATAGAGTGGTGTTGGCTCTATAGCTCTGTATAGAGTGGTGTTGGCTCTATAGCTCTGTATAGTGTTGACTCTATAGCTCTGTATAGAGTGGTGTTGGGGCTCTATAGCTCTGTATAGAGTGGTGTTGGCTCTATAGCTCTGAATAGAGTGGTTGGCTCTATAGCTCTGTATAGTGTTGACTCTATAGCTCTGTATAGAGTGGTGTTGGCTCTATAGCTCTGTATATAGTGGTGTTGGCTCTATAGCTCTGTATAGAGTGGTGTTGGCTCTATAGCTCTGTATAGAGTGGTGTTGGCTCTATAGCTCTGTATAGAGTGGTGTTGGCTCTATAGCTCTGTATTGAGTGGTGTTGGCTCTATAGCTCTGTATAGAGTGGTGTTGGCTCTATAGCTCTGTATAGAGTGGTGTTGGCTCTATAGCTCTGTATAGTGTTGTCGATTAAGGCAGCGTCTGGAAAGTGGAGAATGGACCCGCCCGGGCGTGGGGGAGTCCTCACAGTGTTCGGGAAGTAGGGAGATGTCAGGTGAAACATTTACTGTGTGTACCTCATGTCAGTTATACGTTTGTAGAAGAACATTTTGATTGGCGTGTCGATGGGTTGCAGGTTTGTTCTGAGGAAGGAGTTGACGAGCGTACTCTGAGGCCAGAGACGAAGTTGATGAATGGAACTTCAAGGCTCTAGGAGTGGGTGTTGTACTCTGTGGTAGAGCAAACCCCATAGTGAGGAAGTGGACCCCAAACTGCGTAAAGCAGAGCGGTGAAGTGAAGTGTCACATGCTCCTGTGGAATCAGTGGTGCAGTGCCTGCAGAGATATATGTAGATATATGTTCTAGGGCTGATAATGCCATATTTGTTTTGACAAGGTTTAACTCACTTGGTGAGGTTGGCAGCATAAGTGGCAAGCCAGGAGTTGGGCTACCACTTGGTATAAGCGACGGATAGAGTCCTGACGGTATTGGTTCGCAACCAGGTTATAATATCATAGCGTCTTGAACGTTATAATTATATATTGTATGTGCAAGCTTTGTATATGTTCTGAATCGTCATTAAATGTTTGTAATGAACAGATGTTTGCCCTTGTCCTAGTGAGGCCTCCCAGGAAATAAGAGAGAGAGAAAGCACCACAGCGGTGGACAGGGTAGTACAGAATAATAATTCAAAATAGAAGGAGATTGACGAGATCATATCAACCAAGGAGAGAGTGGGGAGTCACATCGGCTCAAGTAGGGTGTGTGCACATGACAACAAGGTTTGTGTTGGAGCCGCGTCCCCTAAATATGTGAGGCTGAACCCCCTCTCCAAAAGAGGGGGTTCAGCGTCAAAACGAGAAGGAGATTGACAAGATCATACCGACCAAGGAGAGCGTGGGGAGTCACAGCGGCTCAAGTGGGGTGTGTGCACATGACAACGAGGTTTGCGTTGGAACCGCATCCCCTAAATATATGACGCCAAACCCCCTCTCCAAATGCAATAAGCGTGCACGGTGATCTCCCGATTAAAGTGCAAGCACGCTACGGAGCTTTGGTGGGTTGTCCGGAAGAGACTATCGACCCACGACAACGTATTAATATTATTATGACCACAACGTAATACCACACTCCCCCAACACCCCCACACACCCCCCAACACACCCCACACCCACCAGGTCACCCACTAACGCCCCCACTCTCCCCCCACAGAGTCCACATGGGGTGGATGCAAGTGAAGAGATGGGTCTCCTTCCTCCCGGCGGCCTTCGTGGTGTACATCCTCCTCCACTACCTGGTCTACCAGCCGGACCTCACCGGCCCCCACTCTGCTGTCCTCGGTAGGTGCTCCTCTAGTAGGCAGGTCCTCCTCCACTACCAGCCGGACCTCACCGGCCCCCACTCTGCTGTCCTCGGTAGGTGCTCCTCTAGTAGGCAGGTCCTCCTCCACTACCAGCCGGACCTCACCGGCCCCCACTCTGCTGTCCTCGGTAGGTGCTCCTCTAGTAGGCAGGTCCTCCTCCAGCAGGTAGGTGCTCCTCTAGTAGGCAGGTCCTCCTCCAGCAGGTAGGTGCTCCTCCAGCAGGTAGGTGCTCCTCTAGTAGGCAGGTCCTCCTCCAGCAGGTAGGTCCTCCTCCAGCAGGTAGGTGCTCCTCTAGTAGGCAGGTCCTCCTCCAGCAGGTAGGTCCTCCTCCAGCAGGTAGGTGCTCCTCCAGCAGGTAGGTGCTCCTCCAGCAGGTAGGTCCTCCAGCAGGTAGGTGCTCCTCCAGCAGGTAGGTCCTCCTCCAGCAGGTAGGTCCTCCTCCAGCAGGTAGGTCCTCCTCCAGCAGGTAGGTGCTCCTCCAGCAGGTAGGTCCTCCTCCAGCAGGTAGGTCCTCCAGCAGGTAGGTCCTCCTCCAGCAAGTAGGTCCTCCTCCAGCAGGTAGGTCCTCCTCCAGCAGGTAGGTCCTCCTCCAGCAGGTAGGTGCTCCTCCAGCAGGTAGGTGCTCCTCCAGCAGGTAGGTGCTCCTCCAGCAGGTAGGTGCTCCTCCAGCAGGTAGGTGCTCCTCCAGCAGGTAGGTCCTCCTCCAGCAGGTAGGTCCTCCTCCAGCAGGTAGGTCCTCCTCCAGCAGGTAGGTCCTCCTCCAGCAGGTTGGTGCTCCTCCAGCAGGTAGGTCCTCCTCCAGCAGGTAGGTCCTCCAGCAGGTAGGTCCTCCAGCAGGTAGGTCCTCCAGCAGGTAGGTGCTGCTCCAGCAGGTAGGTGCTCCTCCAGCAGGTAGGTCATCCTCCAGCAGGTAGGTCCTCCTCCAGGTCCTCCTCCAGCAGGTAGGTCCTCCTCCAGGTCCTCCTCCAGCAGGTAGGTCCTCCTCCAGGTCCTCCTCCAGCAGGTAGGTCCTCCTCCAGGTCCTCCTCCAGCAGGTAGGTCCTCCTCCAGCAGGTAGGTCCTCCTCCAGGTCCTCTTTCAGCAGGTAGGTGCTCCTCCAGCAGGTAGGTGCTCCTCCAGCAGGTAGGTGCTCCTCCAGCAGGTAGGTCCTCCTCCAGCAGGTAGGTCCTCCTCCAGCAGGTAGGTCCTCCAGCAGGTAGGTGCTCCTCCAGCAGGTAGGTCCTCCTCCAGGTGATCCTCCACCAGGTAGGTCCTCCAGCAGGTAGGTCCTCCTCCAGCAGGTAGGTCCTCCAGGTCCTCCTCCAGCAGGTAGGTCCTCCAGGTCCTCCTCCAGCAGGTAGGTCCTCCAGCAGGTAGGTCCTCCAGCAGGTAGGTGCTGCTCCAGCAGGTAGGTGCTCCTCCAGCAGGTAGGTCCTCCTCCAGCAGGTAGGTCCTCCTCCAGGTCCTCCTCCAGCAGGTAGGTTCTCCTCCAGGTTCTCCTCCAGGTCCTCCTCCAGCAGGTAGGTCCTCCTCCAGCAGGTAGGTCCTCCTCCAGCAGGTAGGTCCTCCTCCAGGTCCTCCTCCAGCAGGTAGGTCCTCCTCCAGGTCCTCCTCCAGCAGGTAGGTCCTCCTCCAGGTTCTCCTCCAGGTCCTCCTCCAGCAGGTAGGTCCTCCAGCAGGTAGGTCCTCCTCCAGCAGGTAGGTCCTCCTCCAGCAGGTAGGTCCTCCTCCAGCAGGTAGGTCCTCCTCCAGCAGGTAGGTCCTCCTCCAGGTCCTCCTCCAGCAGGTAGGTCCTCCTCCAGCAGGTAGGTCCTCCTCCAGCAGGTAGGTCCTCCTCCAGCAGGTAGGTCCTCCTCCAGGTCCTCCAGCAGGTAGGTCCTCCTCCAGGTCCTCCTCCAGCAGGTAGGTCCTCCTCCAGCAGGTAGGTCCTCCTCCAGGTCCTCCTCCAGCAGGTAGGTCCTCCTCCAGCAGGTAGGTCCTCCTCCAGCAGGTAGGTCCTCCTCCAGGTCCTCCTCCAGCACCTGTGTATATATGAAGTATATACAGAGTATAAGGGTCATTCCATGTGACTTCCCCAAACGCCTCCCACTCGACCCTTTCTAAATCTAATGAAAATTTGCAACACAGTAACCCGAGACCCCAAGTGACACTACAAAATATCAAGAACTCAATCTGCTTTGGTTCCCAAGCCTGTTAGTTGGGTGTGTGAGAGGTTCCCAAGCCTGTTAGTTGGGTGTGTGAGAGGTTCCCAAGCCTGTTAGTTGGGTGACTGAGAGGTGCCCAAGCCTGTTAGTTGGGTGACTGAGAGGTTCCCAAGCCTGTTAGTTGGGTGACTGAGAGGTTCCCAAGCCTGTTAGTTGGGTGACTGAGAGGTTCCCAAGCCTGTTAGTTGGGTGTGTGAGAGGTTCCCAAGCCTGTTAGTTGGGTGACTGAGTGGTTCCCAAGCCTGTTAGTTGGGTGTGTGAGAGGTGCCCAAGCCTGTTAGTTGGGTGACTGAGAGGTTCCCAAGCCTGTTAGTTGGGTGACTGAGAGGTGCCCAAGCCTGTTAGTTGGGTGACTGAGAGGTTCCCAAGCCTGTTAGTTGGGTGACTGAGAGGTTCCCAAGCCTGTTAGTTGGGTGACTGAGAGGTTCCCAAGCCTGTTAGTTGGGTGACTGAGAGGTTCCCAAGCCTGTTAGTTGGGTGTGTGAGAGGTGCCCAAGCCTGTTAGTTGGGTGACTGAGAGGTGCCCAAGCCTGTTAGTTGGGTGTGTGAGAGGTGCCCAAGCCTGTTAGTTGGGTGTGTGAGAGGTGCCCAAGCCTGTTAGTTGGGTGTGTGAGAGGTGCCCAAGCCTGTTAGTTGGGTGTGTGAGAGGTGCCCAAGCCTGTTAGTTGGGTGTGTGAGAGGTGCCCAAGCCTGTTAGTTGGGTGTGTGAGAGGTGCCCAAGCCTGTTAGTTGGGTGTGGGAGAGGTTCCCAAGCCTGTTAGTTGGGTGTGTGAGAGGTGCCCAAGCCTGTTAGTTGGGTGACTGAGAGGTGCCCAAGCCTGTTAGTTGGGTGTGTGAGAGGTGCCCAAGCCTGTTAGTTGGGTGTGGGAGAGGTTCCCAAGCCTGTTAGTTGGGTGTGTGAGAGGTGCCCAAGCCTGTTAGTTGGGTGTGTGAGAGGTGCCCAAGCCTGTTAGTTGGGTGACTGAGAGGTGCCCAAGCCTGTTAGTTGGGTGTGTGAGAGGTGCCCAAGCCTGTTAGTTGGGTGACTGAGAGGTGCCCAAGCCTGTTAGTTGGGTGTGTGAGAGGTGCCCAAGCCTGTTAGTTGGGTGACTGAGAGGTGCCCAAGCCTGTTAGTTGGGTGTGTGAGAGGTGCCCAAGCCTGTTAGTTGGGTGTGTGAGAGGTGCCCAAGCCTGTTAGTTGGGTGTGTGAGAGGTGCCCAAGCCTGTTAGTTGGGTGTGTGAGAGGTGCCCAAGCCTGTTAGTTGGGTGTGTGAGAGGTGCCCAAGCCTGTTAGTTGGGTGTGTGAGAGGTGCCCAAGCCTGTTAGTTGGGTGTGTGAGAGGTGCCCAAGCCTGTTAGTTAGGTGTGTGAGAGGTGCCCAAGCCTGTTAGTTGGGTGTGTGAGAGGTGCCCAAGCCTGTTAGTTGGGTGTGTGAGAGGTGCCCAAGCCTGTTAGTTGGGTGTGTGAGAGGTGCCCAAGCCTGTTAGTTGGGTGTGTGAGAGGTGCCCAAGCCTGTTAGTTGGGTGTGTGAGAGGTGCCCAAGCCTGTTAGTTGGGTGTGTGAGAGGTTCCCAAGCCTGTTAGTTAGGTGACTGAGAGGTTCCCAAGCCTGTTAGTTAGGTGTGTGAGAGGTTCCCAAGCCTGTTAGTTAGGTGTGTGAGAGGTTCCCAAGCCTGTTAGTTAGGTGTGTGAGAAGTTCCCAAGCCTGTTAGTTGGGTGACTGAGAGGTTCCCAAGCCTGTTAGTTGGGTGACTGAGAGGTTCCCAAGCCTGTTAGTTGGGTGTGTGAGAGGTGCCCAAGCCTGTTAGTTGGGTGACTGAGAGGTTCCCAAGCCTGTTAGTTGGGTGACTGGGAGGTTCCCAAGCCTGTTAGTTGGGTGACTGAGAGGTTCCCAAGCCTGTTAGTTGGGTGACTGAGAGGTTCCCAAGCCTGTTAGTTGGGTGACTGAGAGGTTCCCAAGCCTGTTAGTTGGGTGACTGGTTCCCAAGCCTGTTAGTTGGGTGACTGAGAGGTTCCCAAGCCTGTTAGTTGGGTGACTGAGAGGTTCCCAAGCCTGTTAGTTAGGTGTGGGAGAGGTGCCCAAGCCTGTTAGTTGGGTGACTGAGAGGTTCCCAAGCCTGTTAGTTAGGTGTGTGAGAGGTGCCCAAGCCTGTTAGTTGGGTGTGTGAGAGGTTCCCAAGCCTGTTAGTTGGGTGTGTGAGAGGTTCCCAAGCCTGTTAGTTGGGTGACTGAGAGGTTCCCAAGCCTGTTAGTTGGGTGACTGAGAGGTTCCCAAGCCTGTTAGTTGGGTGACTGAGAGGTTCCCAAGCCTGTTAGTTGGGTGACTGAGAGGTTCCCAAGCCTGTTAGTTGGGTGACTGAGAGGTTCCCAAGCCTGTTAGTTGGGTGACTGGTTCCCAAGCCTGTTAGTTAGGTGTGTGAGAGGTGCCCAAGCCTGTTAGTTGGGTGACTGAGAGGTGCCCAAGCCTGTTAGTTGGGTGACTGAGAGGTTCCCAAGCCTGTTAGTTGGGTGACTGAGAGGTTCCCAAGCCTGTTAGTTGGGTGACTGAGAGGTTCCCAAGCCTGTTAGTTGGGTGACTGGGAGGTGCCCAAGCCTGTTAGTTAGGTGTGGGAGAGGTTCCCAAGCCTGTTAGTTGGGTGACTGAGAGGTGCCCAAGCCTGTTAGTTGGGTGTGTGAGAGGTTCCCAAGCCTGTTAGTTGGGTGACTGGGAGGTTCCCAAGCCTGTTAGTTGGGTGACTGGGAGGTTCCCAAGCCTGTTAGTTGGGTGACTGAGAGGTTCCCAAGCCTGTTAGTTGGGTGACTGGTTCCCAAGCCTGT